AGAGTAGCAAATTCACTATAAAAAAGAGAGTACAAAAGAAAGAGTATAAAACGCTAGAAAAGAAATGCTAGGTCTAAAAGCACTAAATTCTAAAAATACAAGAGAATCTAAATATAACAAAAGGCCCAACAACCTAAAAGGTACTTCTCTCTTGAATTGGGGCTTAGGGTCCTTCACTGGTGCTTTGATGTATTTGAACTCATTTAAACCCATCATATTTATAACCACTAAAGGAGAGATGCCTTTTAAAAATTTTTGATATATTTTACAAAGACAAAGACAACAAATCTCTATCTTATATATCCAACATCGACAAGCAGCAACCATGCTTCACCTTCTGTACGAAAGTTTCAACGGATCCTAATAGATCAAGATCATAAAAGCCACAATGAATTCTAATGGGTCAAAGCCACAAAAGCCCCAACAGTTTCCAATCGGCCAAAATCACAAAAGTCTCAGCAGATCTCAACAGGTTGAAATCATGAATATAGTAATCTTGTTTCATCTTTTCCACAAAACCCTCAATGGACTTTTTTTCAATTCCCTGTAGCACTAAATTAATTCCAGCATGAACTAAAAATAGCTTCCATCTTGAGTTGTCATCCGGAAAATTGATGAAAGAGTTTTTGGCAACTTCAAAATACAATAATAAAGCAATATATATATATATAGACAAGAATTATGTTGTTTGGACAATTGACCTATGTCACAAGTAAAAGAGCAACAAATTCACTATAAAGAAGAGAGTACAAAATCATAAGTTTTAGAGTACTAAATACTAAAAACACAAAAAAGCCTTAATAAAACAAAAGGCTCAACAGCCTAAAAGGTCCAAATAAGCTACTAACTAGTTCTTTTGGGTGGCCGTGGCACTTCTTAAAAATCTCTCTTAAATTGGGGCCTAGGGCCTCCCAAATCTCTGTTGATATACTAAGGCCCAGCTGTTGGATAATTTAATTTAGTACTTAAATTTAATGGATTCGGATCTTGACATGTTTAGATGCGTTTGATAACTAAAAATTGAATATTTGAATTAATTATGTGGCACTAAATTTTCTAGAGAAAATCTACTTAAAAAAATAAGTAATAAACTATTCACTTATCACTGACTATGATATACACTCAAATATATTAAATTTAATATTTAACAATTTAATAACTTAATGAATTCAGACTTCAGATTTTAGATTTCAGTTTTTCAGACTTCAGTTTTATCAAACGCACCCTAACTAATGGTTCAAGCTTGCTATTTGTATCTCTTCACAAGAAAGTCCAGCAAAGAGTTTGGTTAGTGGAGACTTCCTAGCAATAATATCTTTTCTTTTGCATTTTTAGATCATCTTAAGCTGGCCGTTCAGTCCCAGTAGAGTTTGGATTTGGTTTGGTCAATTAGCTGTATTTTCTTGTTGAGGGTTGAAGACTAGAAGAGTTGTCCAAATTAGCTAGAGGAAAAAGGGGAAAAGAAAGCGAAACCAAGAGATGAAGAAATAGGATGGAGGACTCAAATTTATGACCAAACGGGTGGGAATCCTAAGTTTGACAGATTTTTATCAGATGTGGTCATAAAGTTAACAGCACCAGGATGGTCTATACCTTTCTTTGTTCCTTTGATAAAGTAACATCCATTGTCTTGGTTGCTGGAAACTGTGGTCTAACTTATTTAGCCTTTTTGGTTTTTTTTTTTTGCCCAAAGCACTACTGCACTTTATCTTTTGTGGAAAGAGAACAAGATAGGCTATAAACAAGATGACAACTTGAATTTTCTTGTTCTTTTCCTCTATTCCAAAAGAGTATTCAAATATGCCAATATAGTTGAGCGTGAACTAGTTGATTTGGTGGTTACTGCTCGTGGGAATATTATATCTAACCCAAAAAAACAAAGGTAAAAGGAAAAAAAACCTGTGTAACAAGTAGGCATAACCTTGTTGATTCTCAGCTAGAACAATCCTATTACTTCTAAGATTGGATAATCTCTCTGTTTGCCTACAAATTTTTAAGTATTTTAAAAACAATACAGTTTTTACAAAAAAAAGGAGCAAATGGACGGTTAAAACTTTTATCACGGTTGAAACTCCTTTAGATTTTCACTTAGAATGAGCCAAATTAAATGAACATCCTAACACAGCAAATTTGGCAATTGAAATACATATTTTCTTTTTTATTTTAAATTCAAAAACAGATGAAAGATATAATAGGAAAGAAAAGGTCACATTGAGTGCCTAAATGTCTGAAAAATGTAAGGACGTATTTAGTATTGGATTTCCTTTAACAAAAAATAAATAAAAGAATGAAAACTTTTTTTTACAAATAGCTAGATAGATAAATATACCAATGTTTTGCTCCAAATCAATTTCTTTTCTATAAAGAAATTTATGTCAACAACACTCTATTACTAAATATAACCTCAAGGTTAATTTTTTAGCTATCTTTTGTTTAGTTCTACAAAGTTTAAGCAATTGGAAAATTGAGCTTTTCCTAAAGGCATGAGTTTAATTTCTTTATTATGCCTTCACAGTATGGGGCTCCAAGAATCACATTACTTGGTGTAATTGGGTTCCAAAGGAGCCAGTTGATTTTGAGTTCTCACGTTGATCTAGCATGGCAAGAAATTTTCTTCTAAATGTAGCTTCAGTAAACTTCTAAAATCCATCCATAATAACTCATTTTTAATAAATGACAATTATGCAAAATTTGAATTTGAAATTCAACTTTTACACATATGTCAGAGATCTAACAATGATAGTTTATACACTATAAGTATATATAAGATTTACTCCTTTTGTAAAACGTTTAATTTTAATCCCTTTCCTCAAGTATTTCCTTCATTCACAATTTTATTGATATGCTAATCTTTAGTTTCCGAAAGTTTCCAAAAGTTCTTTAGTTTCCAAAAGTATTGTCAAAGAAATTTGTTAAACTTCTTTCCGAACAATGTTTTTTGCACTATTGCTCAAGGAAATCTGCTTGCTTGCTCCAAAATTAATTGATTGCCAAAGAAATTTCTAAAACTTCTTTACAAACAATTTCTTTCCAACTATTGCTCAACAAAGTTAACAAAATCTGAGTTTAATATATTTATATTTCTAAAGAAAAAACTCATTCTTGCTGTTACATTGAATTACATAAATAGCCACAATTATCATAAATAATGCAGAGCTAAAAAAACAACATTGCATACAGAGGGTATTATCGGAATACGAGATCTAATGCACTAATCCGCTAATTTAGGCTCTTGCTCTTAATATATTATAGATAAGTTGTACCTCTATAAGCGTTTAATTAGAGCTACACGCTAGCCACAATATTGTAGCAGGAAGACTAATGCAAAGCTATTTCTTGATTGATTTACAATATGATTCAAATTAGACAATTAGTTTGAAAACTTGAAAGCCATAAGCCAGCAATTGTTTAAGAACAATATTGAAATTAATGCAGAAACCATTACATGAATGTTGTAATCTAATTACTGATGTGACTGCAAAAAGTGTCCAATTTGGTACATGCATGGCCCACCAATAATGCATCAGATTGGGAGGAATCTTTGTTTGGCGCTACACTGAAGTTGCCGGCAAAGTTCTGAAGCACCATATCTTCTGTGAACAAGATAGTACAGTGTCTTGCAATATTTACACAAAAAGTGGGAAAAAAAAAGTCCAGCCTATTGTTTGTTGGCTATTCTTAGATGAGAAAGTTTTGGATCCTGAACTGATTTTATTGAGCAGCTGCTAAACCAGATAAATATCTAATATCAGAGTGAAAAGAAGATATTATAATGGAGATCCCCTCCAGCAGTAACGCCAATTGCTTTGATTTTGCTTCTTATGATTATCTGCAGTCGCATCTCGTCTCCTCCAGCACTAGCACTAGTTGCTTTGATCTTGCTTTAGATACTCTAGCCGAGCTTGAAAAAGAGCCCTACTATGGCTGGTACTTCAAGTACCTGAAGGAGAAGGCAAGATTAATGAAAACCTGTTTTCTGTATGTCAAAAAGTGTAGGAGGAGGAGGAACCACGAAGCGCTTTTGGAGCCCGATCGCGAGGACAGGTGTAATATTATGTCTGAAAATTTGAGACGTAGTATTATTTGCTTCAGAATTCAAGAAGTGGCTATCAGGATGATTCATGATCTTCAGCCTGCTTATTTTCAATATATTCATTCTGGTCGTTACTTAGATCATGCCAACATTGAAAGTGCGATTACCAGATCCAAGGAAAAGATCAAAATGTTTCTTGAGACGGATCTCAAGAAATCATGCGCCGCCATCTTCATTGACTATTACGCACCGGGAGATCCACGACTAGTTATGGATCTTATTATGTGCCTTTTAGAGACTCTGGATACAATTAGAAATAGGCTAAAACTCTTAAGGAATCTCATTGACTTTGTGACAATGCAAGGTTTTGAATGTTCGCAACTGACAGATCTCTTGACTTACACTGTAGTTGCAGCTGGACGCCTGATTTCTGTATGTCTGTTTTACCATGATGAACAAGTGGCCAATCGATTGGAATCTGAAATTTATAAGCTGATACACGAGAAGATCAATCTTTTTGATCTCCAAGTCCGAGAAACTTTTGTCCATGTCCTGACAGCTTCAAAGAAACAACCGAGACCATCATATGCTTTTGCCCTTCAGAAGAATGAGGATCATGTGGTAGGCCAGTTTGTTGGTTCTCTCCGTGATTATCTTATAGATCTACTAGGATCTTATGCCAGTTTTCAGGTTCCAGTGAAGGATCAAATACTCAGACTCCATGAGGAAATAAGATGCCTGGGTATCCTTCTTAAACAGGAGGAGAAACTAGCTGATGAAATGAAGGATCTTATTGGAGCTGTGGTCTCTGATGCAGCAATTTTGACCTTCTCCCTTTCTGTCAATGAAATCAAAGAAGGCTTGCCTAAGGAAATAGATCTTGCGGTGTTTCATTTGCACAAAGTTCTCAAATATATGGTGGCAGAGGTTGCACACAATTATCCACTAAAATCACCATATTCATCATCCTAGACCCAATGAGTTGGGCTGTATGGATTCTTTCCTAGAAAATCTCAAGGAACTAGCAAGGTGTGATGAGGCTGACGATTCAATTGGTTTTCAACAGGATAGAATCCAAATGATCCAAAAAGATCTCGTAATTTTAAGATCTTTCCTGAAAAATATCAAGGAGCAGCGCCATCAGAATGGAAAACTTCAAGCTTTCTGGAGTCATGTTATGGAAGCTGCTTACAAGGCAGAGTTACTGATTGACTTGGCACTTGTTGGTGATAAATGTGAAGATTCTTTGGATGCTGTTTCTAGAGATATCAATCTTTTGAAGATTGATGCCCCTGAGATCCATAATGGTCAAACCCAAAGAGTTAACAAGACTTCCCTTCAAATACCATCACAACTTGCTGCCGCCATGCACGACGAAGATCTGGTAGGTCTTGACGATGAGGTGGAAACTCTTAGTCATCGGCTTACGAGAGGATCAAAGCAATTGGATGTTGTTCCCATTGTGGGTATGCCAGGCCTTGGTAAGACCACATTAGCCAATAAAGTTTATAATGCTCCTTCAGTTAGGTCACATTTCCATGTTCGTCGTTGGTGTCGTGTTTCTCAAACATATAGCATACGCAGTTTGTTAGTTGAGCTTTTGTGTAGTAGTTCTTCTGAGAGTTCTGATGAATATCATAAGATGGATGAAAATGATTTGGCCATGAAGCTAAGGCAGGTTTTGCTGAGAAGTAGGTATCTCCTTTTTTTGGATGACTTGTGGGACGTTGAGGCATGGAATTTGTTGAAAAAATCACTGCCGAATGATGCCAATGGAAGCAGAATTCTCTTCACCAGCAGATGCCAGGATTTATCTTTGCATTTCGAACCTAATAGCGAGCCTCACCATCTCCGTCATCTTACTGACGAAGAGAGTTGGACATTGCTGCAGAGAAAGCTATTTGGCACGGAAGATTGTCCTGCAGCACTAAGTGAAGTTGGATCTCAAATAGCAAAACTTTGTCGGGGCTTACCCCTTGCAGTTGTCCTTGTTGCTGGAATTCTTGCTACTACTGCAAAAGATAGGTGGGAAGAAGTTGCAAAAAGTCTAAGTTCTATTGTCCTTGGGGATGAATACTGCATGAAGACACTTGAGCTGAGTTATAGTCATTTACCAGATTATTTGAAGCCATGCCTTCTGTACTTTGCTGCATTTAAAGAAGATGAGGTTATTAATGTGCGAAGGTTGTTACGGCTTTGGATCTCTGAAAGATTCGTGCAACAGGCTGAAGGAAAGAGAGTAGAGGAAGCAGCTCATGACTACTTTGTGGCTCTAGTTAATAGAAGTTTAGTTAAGGGTGTCGGACAAAGAACTGTGGGTGGTGCCAAAGCCTGTCTACTTCATGATTTGGTACACGAGTTTTGTGTGAAAAAAGCCAAAGAAGAAAGTTTTCTATATGATGTTCATACTTGGAACCCTCTTGGGCTTACTGGACCAAGCAACCCCCACCGAGTTTGTGTCCGCAATACCAGAGAATTGAAGATTTGGGAGTTAACGCTTATATTTCCCAATTTACGCTCTTTGATCTTGTTTAGACAAGATTATTTTAAACATGAAGAGGAGGATTTGGGTATTTTGTTACCTAAACTTCTCAGAGTGTTGGATTTTCGGAGTTTGCACTTTCGTTACAATTCTTTCCCAATCGAAGTAGTATTGCTTGTTCACTTGAGGTACCTGGCGCTCAAAGGAGTAACATACATCCCATCTGCGATAGCCAACCTCTTAAGGTTAGAAACTCTTATCGTAGATTATCCGAGTTTGGGTATTGAGCTGCCAAGTACTATTTGGAACATTAAGACATTGAGTCATCTACTTGTTATAAATTATCATGGAGTATGGCGAAGGGGTTTTATTTTTCCAGTTGAAAATCTTGAAGTATCCCCAGATTTAGATCGTTTGGACACTTTAAACCTTGCAGTTGATCCCTCTCCTCAAAGCTTGCAAAAGATACTGAGAAAGTTACCAAGCATTCGCAGGTTAAAATGTATGGAACACCGGGGCGGATCAAGAGAAGCTACCAGAAATTGCAACGAGATTCTTGAGTTTGACAGTTTGAGTCAACTGGAATCACTTTATTTGTATGGTTTTCACGGATGTGGATTCAAATTCCCATTGAATTTGAAAAAGTTGACTCTCTCATATAATGCTCAGCCATGGAGTGAAATTTCAACAATTGGAAAGTTGCCCAATCTTGAAGTGCTTAAATTACTTGATCACAGCTTTCCCTAACCTCCGAGTCTTAAAATTGTCAAGGTTGAAATTTCGCAACTGGACTGCATTTTCTGATAATTTTTCCCGCCTTGTGAAATTGGTCTTGCACCGATGTAAGGAGCTGGAAAAGGTCCCTTCCTGTTTAGGGGAGTGTGAGACTCTTGAAATGATTGTGGTGGAAAATTGTCCTGAGTCTGTTGTAGATTCTGTAAAGCAAATTCAACAAGAGCAGATGGACATGGGAAATGAGGTTCTAAAGATCGAAATTCATTCCATTCCTTAGAAGAAGAGTCTAAAGAAGCAGAGTCAATTCCCTCAGAAGCAGAGGAGGTTTCTTCAGAAAGAGAGTCTGTATCCTCTCATCACGCAGTTGGCAATTGTGAGAGTGAATGTACAGTGGGATTCCACTCATCAGGTCAGATAAAACTATATTTGCATATGTTGAATCAGTTCAATTATATAATGATTCATGCTTCTCTTAACAGTTTACGACGGCAAACCATTCATGTCTCTTTTTCATTTGTTTATATGTTGAATCAGTCCAATGATGTGTTAATTCATGTGTATTTTGAAGCAATTTCTGCTGCATAACTTTCTGATAAATTTCTGATTGATGCACAATCTGTTTCTAAAATCTGCTTCTTGTCATTTTCTCGTTCAGTGTTGAGTAATTTTTATGTCCCAATTTCCGAAATCTTCTTCCTTGTTGCTACATAACCAGATACACTTATCTGTTCCCAATTTGTGCATGTAAATAAGAGTAATACAGAAAAGTGTGACTTACTTCTAGTTTTCCTCAATAAAAACCATAATTCAATTGACTGATATGTTGAAACCTACAATCACAGTTTTGCAACAAATATTAAGTGGAGACCAAAACCCAAAAAAAAAAAACAACAAACTATGGTTGTGTTACTTTTCAACAGAGGAAGGGCATAGGACTTAATATGTGTTTTTCTTCACTACAACATGCTGAAATACAAACATTTTCATTCTTTAATAGGCAATATTTTCGGAAATAAAAAAGGAAGCAATTTTTTCTTAAACTTTTTTTGTGTGTGGTTTCATGTTTTATTTTGCTATTTTAAGTGGTTAATTGCTCAAACTTATCAAAATGACAATCAAAGAAACCAGATGACCTATTTTGTCGGGTAATCTGTATACCTCTTCATTCAACTGATGTACTGCAATTTTTCCTTCTTCCAGAGCAGGTTTCCTCAGAAGGTGAAGACTGAAACATTTATGTCTCTCCTTGATTTGGTGTGGTCATTCCTTCCACTCATCAGGTTAGATATAATTGTATGTGTATGTTAATTCAGTTCAATGACATATAATTACTGATCATGTCCCTTCTTCATCTGTACCAAATTATTTGGTTTGAACTTTGATGCAGCTGCATTACTTTGTCATTGCAGGGGCAAGCACAGTCATGCATTCTATCAAGCCAACATTATCCATCATAATCTGTTTGTAAAATGTTCTCCATGTTCTTTTCTGGTTTGATGTTTAATAGTGTTTATGATCCATCACAATCTTGTTTGTAAAATATTCTCCAAGTTCTTTTCTGATTTGATGTTTAATAGTGTTCTTGATCCCAATTCTTCAAACATTCTCATTGCTATATAGTAGCCACTCGCATTTCTTTGCATTCTTCAACTTAGCAAAAGTCTAAAGGGTGTAACTTTACTTAAACTTTTTCTATGCTATTTCATCTTTTATTTTCTGATCACTGTGATTAATTGTTCAATGTTCAACCTGGTAAAATTGACAAATTAAAGAAGCTGAATGACATTTTTGCTGAACAATCTATGTACTTCTTCATTTAACTTGACATCTAATTGTGATATTCTATACCATGTAACTTATTTAATACAAGAATATTTAAAAAATAGAGAAAACCATTACATTGACGATCATTTAAGACCAATATTAACGTTGATGAGAAACCATTACATGAAAAAAAAAAATATATTTTTTTTGGTTGCTATGACTTATGAGGCTAAAAAGTACAGAATGCTGACTTTAACTTTCTTCTATCCAAATGATTGTAATCCAAAATTCCAAATATCATTTCCTCCGCTTTATTTTTCAACTTTCTTTCTTTCTTTGGGCCTTTGTTTCATTTTTGTTTTTCGGAATTTGGGCTGTAGCTTACTGGGTATATATATTATTTCTTCTGGTTTATTTTTTTTCCTTATTTTTCTTTTTTCCCCTTTCTTGGGTTCCCTAAAAGAAACCTACATAACTAACAACCATTGTATTAAAAAACTAAATTTATTAATTTACATACACATGTATAGATGCAGTTTACAAACTCACGGAGTCCTCATGGATGGACCGCTACTGAAGCATCACAAAACATAATTAGTTCTTTTAATACCCATTTAATTACTCTATCAAATCTCGTCCCAATGATCAAGAAAGGGTTCTTAGATTCTTTTTCATACCAAGTTCAAGGTTTGAATTATGTACCTGACAATTGGAGTTAAAAAGCAGTTCGAATTATGTACTTGACAGTAGAGAGTAAAATGCATATGAGAAGGGATGGGAGGATTACAAAAAAAAAATGGAAGAGTCTCCTCTTGTCTATATACAATAGTGTCCCTCTATGTGGCTTGTATAATTGACTAGACAGCAAAGGCAAGACTTCTAATGATCAAATCACTCTACGTTAACCTAGGTTTATTCCACTTGCACCTTTAAAGTTCTTTCTATTTTCACTTTGCTTAATATTAGTTACAAAACTTTACATCTTATCTTTCAAAACAAATTCTAAATCTTACAAAGGGCTTAAAATTGAATGAAAAACCTTATATTCACCTTTTTTTTTTTGTCAAATATTCACCTAGTTAATACTGCTCTAAGTTGAACTAGGGCATGAGAGCACAATCTACTATTGTTAATGCCATGCATCCAAGGGGTGCTGAGCGGGGCTGTGTTTTGAAAGTTTTAATTCACAGTGTGTAAATATGGGTGTGAAACAGAGTTAGCCCCCTAATTGATTGAATTGATGGTTCAGATGTTTGAACTGATAAAGTCAATACCAATCACTCATTTTGTTCATCACTGGTCCACCTTTCAAAATATTTTTAACTGCTAAAGTTGTTCAAAAAGTTGAATACTTTGAAAAAAAAAAAAATCCTATCTGAAGTTTCTAGTAATATCATTTACCACCCCTATTGTTCTAAAAGTATCACTTACCTTCCCTACAAGTGATGTGGCAAAAATTCACTATCGCAGCATGCAAAGTGAAAGTATTACCCTCACAACTTAAGATTATTTGTTCTAAAAGATTTTGAAGGAAAAATAAATAAATTGATAAATTAGAATATCTATCTTAACAATTTTTGGCACTTAAACCTTCATACTTTTTTAGTCCTTCTATGCCACCCATATATTACATTGTCCTCAATATTCTAATAATAATTTAGACAAAAAATGTAAAAAAAAAAACTTAGATCAATAAAGATAATTCCCATTTAGGAGTTAATTTTGCACTTAAACCCCCTTCCAACACTCCAATTTTTTTTTAAAGTCCTTCTATACCAACTTTATATTAGAATACCCTCCCTACTCTAACAATTATTCGAAAAAATTTTAGTAGACTAAGTACCAAAATTTTATACAACTAAAAATTTGATATTCTAAAAATTATATTTCACTTAAACACCCCTTTGATCCACTTTGAATACTCTAATGACAATCGTATATTAAATAGCCCTTGCTATTCTAACAACTTTTGAGGCAAAAAAGTTTAGAAGGGAAAAAAAACCAAAATCCATCAAAGAACGGTCATCTTAACAATTATTTTTTACTTAAACTATCCCTTCCCCCAACTTTTAGTTCTCCTGTGCCAACTTTATATTAACTGAACTCTCCTATTCTAACAATTGTTTGTGCAAAAAGAATCAAATGCACTTGAGCATCTTCTGAATTAAATGCAAATCCAGGAATTCGATCACCTAAAATACAAACTATATAATAAAGACTTTAAGGTAATATTACACACCCTAATAGAATGACATGTATCATTATTAGTAGTGCATTTAATCCAGAAGCTGCTCAAGAGCACTCTTCTTGCCTCCCATTTCCCATGGTACCTTCACTCCAGTGGATCTAATCCCCTAGCTTGCATTTAATTTAAAAAGTGCTCAACTATACTTTTTTTGGCCACACCTTACTTCACATAGTGTTGGATTAGGATTAGAGTAGATTAGCAAATATTGTATCAACAAAATAAAAAAAAAAGGAAAAAAGACAAGGTAGTATACGACTAGCAGTAGAGTGCACTTTTTTAATAACTCCTTTTCCATAATATAGGTACAGATTAACCAATATCATATTTGGTAAAAAACAAAAAAAAAAAGACAAAGACAACCCTGAGATACATCTATCCCACAGTGTAAGAGTAAGCATAGGAGTAAATTAGCAAACATAGTACTGATTGAAAAAAAAAAAAAAAACACATTCATTTAACCATCACCCCATGTCATGTCAAACGTTTATGACTATCCATTTTTTGTTTTTTTCTAGAATTTTAAATTCTTAGAACCTGATGTTCCTAAAATGGTCTTTGATTGCTGTAAAGGGTTTACTACACTTGCCCACCTTAAAATTCCTTTTAGTTTCATTTTGCTCATTAAATATTTAGCTGGAAAACTTTACAGGATTTTCTTTTTAAAGTTGGCTTACAAAAGGAAAAGAAAAGAAGGGAAGGTTAGAAAGTTGAATTAAAAACCTTATGATTTTTATTAATGTCTTCCAATTGGATCGAAGGCTTGAGATTCCAATCTATTAATGTTCACATTGTAAGGCTTTTTCTATATAAAAATGGACAGTGGATCCACCCCTGCATTACAATACTATCGAAGAAGAAATTTATTAAACCCTTTTCTCAAGAGTTATCTAACTTATAAAAAAAATATTGGACACATAAACCTAAGGTCTCTAATTTCTAGAGCCTTAAACTTATCCATTAAACTAAGGTTTCTAGGCAAAACTTGGCAATACTTGAATACTTCTAAACTAGAAATAGAAAACATCAACTATTAGGAAGTTAGGTTTAATTATATCAACATTGCCTCTTTAAATTAAACTTTTCACGAATATAGCTCTATACTATTGCCAACCAAAAAAAAAAATCTTCTAAGATATTTTTTCATTATGAATCAATTCTTGCCAATCACTTCACTTTCAATTTATTAGCCTCACTAGCTGATTGCTGATATCAAGATTCTCAATTTTGCAAGTCCGTCACGAAAAAAAAAAAGTTGACAAGAATTTTTTTCAACTCTTTCACATTACCAAATTAAATATCAACAACTATAGTAGAATCTTTTTCTCTAATCACTGTCTAACACAAATAACACGATACGATGCTTCTTCTCACATGTCTATCCAATTAGGATCAATTTTTTCCTAATTGTCAAGTAACTCGAGTACCCCCAAGATCAATTTAGTGGCCCAATTTTTTCTAATGTTCGAGTACTCTGACTCATAAAAAAATTCACATTTCAAAATCTATGAACATAAACCTAGTAATCTTAAGTTTACAAACATCCCAAGATCAAAAGGCAGGGTTCTAATACCACTTTAGTGTATAAAAGATGCGTACAAGAGGATATTGGCACATGTAAAAATATGTAGAAGAAAAGGAGTTTAATAGCCATAAATACACAAAGCACATCTGATTCACATATTGAGATTGGCACAAATTCTAGGCAGAATTGCTTTCACAACAACCGCAACTCTCTTTAATTTTTTTTCTCGCCCTTTTCAACTCAGTATACTGCTAAAATACCCCATATAGAGTTAACATAACTGAGTAATTAAGAAACTACTGCAACAAGAAACTACCACATAATTACTCCGTACCCTAAACAACTAAATTACTGAAACTTGGCTATACTTGAATACGTCTAACCTAGAAATAGGAAACATCAACTATTAGGAAGTTTGGTTTAATTATGCCAATAAAAAGGCATATTCTTCTGACCATCACACTATGTCAAAACGTGCATGGGTTTCGTTGATTTTAGCAATGATAACTGTTCCACATAAAGCAACGGCAACATGCATGGATTTAGGATAATTTCATAAGCTAATTTTGTATATAATGATAGTGCATATAGTAACAACAATGAATGAATGCCACCTAAACTTGATATAATGGTAGTGTATAATTTGAATTTTGTTTCTTGATATAATGGTAGCTTGCAATATTATGGAATAATTTCAGAAATCCCACTAAGGTTATTGACAATTTCACTTATCTCTCCTCAACTTTAGGAAATCTCACATACTCTAGCAGACAATTGGGACCTGTTGATGTCGAAAGGCGCAGCAAAATACTTATATCTTTAGTCTTTGGTGATATTAACTAAACGATTTCTCACCTTCAAAGGTAATTTGCAAAAAATCAAGTCAAGTCTTATTTCCACAACCTTGTAATACGATGCAAAAAGAAAATATTAAACAAACAAAAATTATTCTCACCCTTGATTCCACTGCACCTTTCACAAGGAAAAAAAAGCTGTTCTCTAATTTTTTATGGTTACTTTCTCTTATAAGCTTTAATTGACGCTCATCAAGCCTTATATATTTTAGTATAAACTTCCAAGCTTTTAATAAGAAACTTGTAACATC